ACTTCTGCCAGAGCCAAGAGCTTGCCTTAGACATTAATGTCCAAAAATCAAAGCTCTTTATGCGATATTCCCATATCCAGGCAACCCAAAGTGAACCTTGTTTCAACAGAATTGCCCAGATATATCTTGTAACACAAGCAAAGTTCCAAGATCCCATATCCCTAAGCCCCAACCCTCCTTCTTTCTTAGGGAAAGTGATTTTTGGGCAAGCAACTACTGCTCGTTTCCTACCTCCCTCTCCAACTCCCCACAGAAAATCACTGCACAACCTCTCAATCTCCCTATTGACAGATTTGGGGAGAATAAAGATAGCCATCCAGAATTGTGATAGACTATAAAGGACAGATATAACTAACTAAATTTTACCAGCATAGGAGAGAGATTTTTACTTCCAACTAGAAATCCTACCTGCAACTCTATCAATAAGTGGCTTGCAGGCTTTAATAGTGAGCTTTCTAGACAAGAGAGGAAGGCCAAGATAACGAACAGGTAAGGAGCCTAGCTTATAACAAGAAAATTGTGTCATCGCAGCCTGCCATTGATCCCACAACCCTCCATAATAGAGCTCACATTTCGAAGGGTTTGATTGAAGACCAAACATAATACGAAACTGATTAAGAACTTTTTGAATGCATTGGATACCAAAGTTGGAACCATCAGAGAATAGTAAATGATCATCAGCAAACATAAGGAGTGTCAAACTTAACCTCTTACACATAGGGTAAAAAGGCATTTCTCCTTGCTGAACAACCTTATACATAAGATAGGAGAAGACCTTTATTGCCACAGCAAATAGTTAGGGAGAGAGGGGATCTCTCAGTCTTAATCCCTTTTTTTAGGAAAAATATCTCACACAGCCCCCATTAAACCCTATACTCAGCTTTGGGGGTAGTGACACACATCCTTAGCCAGACTATAAACACATCAGGGAAGCCTATTGCTCTAAGAACATCAAAGAGGAATAACCAATCAACAGAGTCAAAAGCCTTCATTAAATCCACTTTTATTAGTGAACGAGGAGAGATATTCTCCCTACCATACTTTTGAACCAGTTCATGGGCTAATAGGATGTTTTCACCTATAACTCTACCCTTTACAAATGCAGTCTGAGATTCATTAATGATGCTAGGAATAATAGAGCACATTCTAGTATCTAAGATTTTTGCCATGCATTTATAAAGGATATTACAGCAGGAAATTGGCCTAAAAAACTTCATTTCCTCAGGGTTAGAAACTTTTGGAACTAAGGTAAGGAGAGTAGAGTTAATCCTGACTGGAATTTTTGACACTTGAAAACACTAGAGGATAGCAGTTGTTACCTCAGAGCCCACAACACTCCAAGCTGCTTGGAAAAAACAAGCTGGATAACCATCTGGCCCAGGGGTTTTCTCCCCATTGAAGTAAAAATAGTAGACTTGATCTCCTCAGTTGTATCTGGGTTGCATAATTCAGCCCCTTGAGTAGGCGATAACGTCTTTAACAAAAAAAAAAAAACCTTCAGCTATTCTATATCGGGAGCCACAACAGCTTTGTCCTGCTCTCCAAGTAGCTTTTGATAGAATCTCTCTGCAATGTGACTCATCCTAACCGTATCAGTAACTCTCCCCTACTCATCCAGAAGGGAACGAATCATATTTCTTTTTTGTTTTGTCTTAATTGACTTATGAAAATAAGAGAAATTTGAATCCCCCTCCTTCAACCAAACTTCCCTAGACTTCTGTCTAAAGTAAGACTCTTCAGCATCCTTTAGTTCCTTTGCCTCTTTAGCAAGTCTTATTTCAACTTCAAAGGTAAGAGGAAAAGGGTTCTTTAGTGCCTCTGCCTGAGCAACTAACAGTTCAGCATTTTTTAACATGACTCTCTCACTAAGGTCTGATTAAACATCCTTATTCAACTGCTTGAGAAGCCTCTTCAGGATCTGCAACTTCTTACATACCCTATCCAGTGGGGATCCATCCACATTCGACTGCCAGGCCTTCTTAACCAGATTCATAAATTCAGGATGTTGGATCCAGAATTTAAAGAATTTGAACAGCTTGGGAAGGGACTTAATAGTGCAATCAGGGGTCAACAAAATGGGGCAATGGTCAGACACAGAAGGATCCAGGAGGTCCACAGATCTTGCAGTCAAAACATCCAACCATTTTACATTAACAAACACTCTATCCAATCTTCTCGCAATTGGATTACCCTGCTGCTTATTTAACCAAGTAAACCATGTACCAGAGGACTTGTGTTCCTCCAACTGACAATCATACTGTCATTTTTAGAATCAGCCATACTGTCAGAGAATTGAGGACTATTGGAAGCTTCATTAGGTTCACCAATAGCATTAAAGTCACCAAGAATAGCCCAAGGAGCAGAACTTACTTGGTATTTCAATAAATCAGCATACAACTGCCTTCTATCCACCTCTTCATTAGATGCATAGACCACAAATAGGAAGAAAGGAACTCCAGAACTAACCAGAACATGAATGAATTGATCTGTATTGTGCAACACCCTTAGCTGTATATCAGCCTTCCACAGAAGCCATAATTTTTCTAAACCAGAAGAATTATTTACCACTTTGGGCTCCCACCCAGGAAACCTTTTATTTATCAAATCCTCAGCCCTATTTACCCTAACCCGAGGCTCTAGTATAGCTATAATATCTATATTGTGTTTTTTTACCAGCTGCTAAACATCCCTATTCTTGTCCGGGTCATTAAAACCCCGGACATTCCATGAAAGGATCTTCATCGTTTCTTTCCTGCCCTCCCCCCTTTCCTAGGGAGGATAGGAGCAAAAACATGAGGGGTATGAGGTTTCTTCTTTGAGCTTCCCACTGTAATCCACGGGTTAGGTTCTTTCTCCATAGCAACTGAAGTAGCCTAAGAAGGTCGCCTCCTAGAACTGGTGGACTCCCCTCAACAGACTTTAGTGGAATTGAGCTAGGACTCCCAGCTTGGACTCATGATCCTAGGACTCCCAACTAGAAGGACCAATTATGAAATTTAGAAAATGGAATATTCCAAGAATATTCAGTCAACTTTAACAGAATGCACTTAGCTGTAAACTTAAGTGGTACCGGGTGCACATATAATAGAGTTCAGTGGTACCCAACGCCCTATTCAAATTTAAGTGGTATGTCTACCCGAATTCTCAAACTTAAGTGACATCTGAGGTATTTTACCCGATAAATAAACTACATGATAAGGAAAAACCGAGATAGATGGAGATTAGGATAATCAAGAGTAATTTGAAGAAACTTGATAGAAACTCACAGAGACGTAATACAAAGGGTTTTGGGGAAATACTGTTGGATTGCTAATATGCGAGAAAATATAGGAAACATTCTTACCATCAATAATAATAATAATAACTAACTAATCCTTCATCAATCCATCTCCTACAAAGATTTTCCCCTAAAAAATCAACCTAAAATTGTATCAACTTCTTTCTATACTTCTAATTCAAAGCTCGATCACTTTTTCACTTCCAATTCCTTCCACCTATCACAATGACCTCACAACGACAAAATACTAAACAATCTGAATCAAAAATTTCCAATTCACACTGCCGACAACCAAAAAGTAGTCGCATCATCCATCTTAATTGAAGATCATACTTGCTTATTCTTTGGCACTGAGATATCCTTCAAAGCCTCCAAGTAAATACGATTAATGCGACGACTGGAACGGCATAGATGATGGTGTTGGGTGCTAGGGTAACCAGACTCTGCCACTAATTGACGAGCGAGTGGATTTGAAATCGGTGATTGATTAATAGAAAGATTAGAGGAGAATTAGGCAAAATAAGGGAAAGAAATAAATGATTATATATGAGGAAGAATTGAGACTGCATTGGGACTAGAGAATTTAGGAACGGGGGCTATAAGAGAATCAATAGAAATCATAGACCAGGAAACCGGATCGTACCGGCCGGTTCAACCGGTTTAACCGGAAATTGGACCAAAAGCGGCACGGTGGGCTGATTGTGCTGATTTTACCGTGCCGGCCGGTTTTTTCGGTTTGACCGGTTGAACCGGTTGAACCGGCCGGTACGATCCGGTTTCCTGGTCTATGATTCAGCTTCATTCTCCGTATTCTCGTTCAATATGTGGAAAATAATTAAAAAAGAATATTATTTTGCTATTTTTCTATGTTGAAAATGGGTCACCGTGGTTGTATAATGTTTTATTTGGTTCTTTTTTTGATGGATTATATTTTTTATACTATCGCATTTCATTTCTCTATCAATAGTGAAAAACGGTATTTACCGGTACAAAATGGTTGAACCACGGTCGTACCACAAAATACCATACCAGAAAGGAATCCGGTATGATGTCCGGTACGGTTTCCTTTACCATGATAGAAATTCACAGACGTGTAGAGTAAAATTAGGGTTTAGAGAGAACAAACAATGAGGTAATTGATTCGATAACTATTTTCTTTATTCCTTAATAATGTAGCTGAATGAATAAAGTAGAAATATACAAGAAAATACACACAAAAATTTAATATTATTCGAACACTCACTTGGAAGCCACCTAAAATGGTTAAACAACGAATCCACGCAATTAATCTCATGGCTACCCTCAAAATAAATCCATATTTCAAGAATAACTAATAACATCGGTAACTAATTAACCATTACCAAAGTAAGATAATGGTCATGTTTTCAGTGATGAAAATGAAGGAATTATTATTAGTGGGTATGCAAATGTTGTTTACTTTAGTTGGTGAATTGGTTATGACGTTGCATACTTGTATGATATATATATGTCCTTTTAAATTTTTTCCAATATTCCATAATTTAGACTCTTTTATTTCAGTGATGAAAATGAAGGAATTGTTATTAGTGGGTATGCAAATGTTGTTTAGTTCAGCCTGTGACTAATGATCTAAAATTTTGCAATGGTGTTTTAGTGTTTTCCCTTCTCCATTGCTCCTAAGTCCTACCCTATAAAAACCTGCCCCAAAGTAAAGACCACCTACCCTCCAATCAAATAAGCTTCTTAAGCAGCCATGGCAATAGAAGGAAGAAGTCCTCCATCTCGGCGGTTTCTGGCAGCGACGCTAATTGCATATTGTGCCTTCTTCCTTATGATCGCTTGCTGTCGTGCCACTCCTGCTCAAGATCGAAAGGTATTTCTAATGTTTTACATATTTATGGCTTGATTTATATAATTATGTATTTATTACGAATACACGAACTGATCCAGAAAAATCGTCATGTCTTTATCTATATACATGTTCACTATCCAAGTCATACATATTCATGGCTTATTTTATGCATATGCATCATGACATTGTATATTACATTCACTATGGCTAATGAGCTCTCTACGTTGCCAGGTGTATATAGCATACATGGGCAACTGTCCAAAGAGCCAAGCTTCTCTTCCCGCGCTGCACTTCGGCTTGCTTCACCGCATCATTGGCAATGCTAAGGTCGCCTCAGATTCCTTGATCTACAGCTACCATCGGACCTTCAACGGCTTCGCTGCCAGACTAACAGAGGCCGAGCATCAGAAACTTTCCGGTGGGTGTTTTTTTCCCCCTTCCTCCTTTCCGTCGTCGTCGGAGATTCAATGGCTTACTCTGTTTTCCTTCATTACGGCAGCCTATGAAGGTGTAGTTTCTGTGTTCCCCAACAAGATCGCGAAGCTCCACACGACGAGATCATGGGATTTCATCGGCTACCCCAAGAATGCTTCGACATCAACCCGCCGCCAACAGAGCAACCTGATCATTGGAGTGCTCGACACCGGAATCTGGCCTGAATCGCCTAGCTTCGACGATTCCGGCTACGGCCCGCCTCCAAAGAAATTCAAGGGCAGATGCCAATCGTCCTCGAATTTCAGCTGCAACAAGTAAGATAACCCTAAACCCTAGAAATTTCATAACCTAATGGTCTGAATTCGATTAGCTTAAATTGTAATGGCCCTATTCTTTTTACAGTAAGATCGTTGGGGCCAGGTTCTACAACGTCGCAGGAGATTACGGTCCAGGGGACATTCCTTCACCCCGGGATTCCGACGGCCATGGAAGTCACACTGCATCCACTGCAGCAGGGAACTTTGTCACCCCTGCTAATCTCTATGGCATCGCCAATGGGACTGCCCGCGGCGGGGTCCCTGCGGCTCGAATCGCAGTCTACAAGATCTGCTGGGCTTTTGGATGCTCATATGATGATATTATGAAAGCCTTTGATGATGCTTGTTCTGATGGAATCGACATGGTCTCGCTCTCGGCTGGTGGTTCGCCGATGGAGTATTTCCGTGACCCCATTGCTATTGGGGCTTTCCATTGCATGAAGAAGGGAATTTTAACCTCCAACTCGGCTGGCAACGACGGCCCTTTTCCTGGATCAGTCTCCAACAACTCTCCTTGGTCGCTTACTGTTGCTGCAAACACCATTGACAGAAAGCTGACGACCAATGTCAAGTTGGGTAATGGCGAAATTTATAATGTGAGTCATGGGAAGTTCCAAGTTTGTGTTGTAAACTTCATTGTGATGCATTAGGGGGATTAGCGATTTAACCACGGCAGAACTTGCTTCTTTTCTTGTTAACTCGATCTTGCAGGGGACCTCTCTGAATAGTTTTGTGTCAAATAAATCGATGTGCCCTATCATATACGGTGGAGACGCACCAAACACGACAGCCGGATACGAGGGAAATGTGTCCAGGTGAGTACAAGAATTCTGAACCATATTTACAATATGGCAACAATACAATTTTCTCATTTTTTTACGAAAACATTGCAGGTATTGCTACTCGGGTTCCTTGGATAGAAACCTGGTGCAAGGGAAAATTGTTTATTGTGAGTTTGCCGGCCAGGGAGATGGACCTAGAGAAGCTGGTGCTGCTGGTGCCATAATGGGAAACAATCCACAGGGAGATGTGGCGTTTCCTTACCTTCTTCCTGTGTCTCTCTTGAGCGAAAAGGATGGAAGCAATGTTTTGACTTACTCGAACTCAACCAGGTACAGCAGAAATGGATTGCTGCACCATATTGTTGAATGTGTGAATGGACATCATGTTGAGTTCTTGTGATTTCTTTTGCTAGTGACCCAACTGCAGTGATTTACAAGACAGTTGACTACCTGGATGGCTCATCTCCTTACGTGCTTTACTTTTCCTCGAGGGGTCCCAATCCGATAACCCCTGACATTCTCAAAGTAAAAAAGGAAGTAGCTCTCAGTTTTGGTTCTTGTTGTTTGGTTTCCTTAGCTTAATCTGATAAGATTATATATATGCAGCCGGACTTGACAGGACCTGGAGTAAACATACTGGCAGCGTGGTCTCAAGGTACGACTATGACAGGTCTACCTGGTGATGAAAGGGTTGTCGCATACAACATCATCTCCGGTACTTCTATGTCTTATGACAACAGGTGCTCATGTTACTATGGAAATCTATCAGCATTAATCTCTAAAGATAGCAAGAAATAGTTTGAAGACAATTTGTACTAATCTATACTTCCTAACATGCAGCACGGCCCCTGAGTGCCAAGTATAATCCCGAGGCTGAGCTAGCATATGGGACGGGACAAATCGATCCAATCAAGGCAGCAGATCCTGGGCTTGTATTTGATGCTGGGGAGAAGGATTATGTCAAATTTCTCTGCGGCCTGGGCTATTCGACCAAACAACTCCGGCTTGTCACGGGAGACCCGAGTGCTTGTACTGCAGCTACAAATGGAACCCTATGGGATCTAAACTATCCTAGTTTTGCCATATCAGCAAACAGATCAGGGGTCTCTGTGAGTAGGGTATTTCGCAGAACCGTCACCAATGTTGGATCAGCGAATGCGACCTATAAAGCCACGGTAATTGCACCAGCAAACCTCAGGGTCAGAGTTAGCCCAAGTGTGCTTAGTTTCAAGACTATTGGGAAGAAAAAGTCATTTGGTTTGACAGTCTCTACCGTGGTTGGGAAGAACACTGGATGACACAAATGCAGCAATAGGGCTCCTTACTACATGCTTCCCATCACTCCAGACAAGAACACCAGAGGGCTCCTTACTACATGCTTCCCATCACTCCAGACAAGAACACCTCTGGTGTTCTTGTCTGGAGTGATGGGAAGCATGTAGTAAGGAGCCCTATTGCTGCATTTGTGTCATCCAGTGAATGATCAATAAGCTGGGGTGTTTGTTTCAGGTGTTCTTGTCTGGAGTGATGGGAAGCATGTAGTAAGGAGCCCTATTGCTGCATTTGTGTCATCCAGTGAATGATCAATAAGCTGGGGTGTTTGTTTCTCTTAAATATATTTGCAGTTATAGCAGAATCGAAGTTGGTAATGTACTTTGATTCTCTACATTGAAATATACTAATCATCTTTTTAACTCGTTTGCTGCCAGATATAATATCATGTGTACTGTAGATACCTTCCACCCAGTCGATAACAAGGCTACAGCATTTGATAAATTAACAAGGATGGTGATGTTGGGGAATGAATCCAATAATCCTTCCATAATCAACAAAGTCACCTCAGTTTTAACAAGTCTAAGTCATCGCCATAGCTAAGAAACTTTGCAAACATGTTGAGAGATCCTCAGAAAGAGACGGAGGCGAAATTCAAGCAGATCTCTGAAACGTAGCACGTGTTGAGAGATCCTCAGAACGTTTGATTTCCCTCCTCACGACGATACTCTGTCTGAGGATTCGAAATTTAGGTTCAATCTCCGTGATGTTAAGGATGTAGTCGCTGGATTCTTTGGTGACTCTGGTGGCGCAGGTGGCGGAGGGCTTGGTGGAGACGGCGGGGAAGGTGGGAGTGTCTAGGGGAAGTGGGAATTAGTAGGATAATGGTTGGACGACTCTCTATTTTGGGGAGGATTCTGGGTATACGAGATTGAGAGGAGAGGAAGCAGATTTACTGCTCCCCAACTATCTTGACTCTTGAGAATGGGTTTCTAGTGGGGAAGTAGGGTTAGTAGGATGGGTTTCTAGTGGGGAAGTAGGGTTAGTAGGTGGAGATTTCAAAATGGCCCACTTGGTTAGGGCTTAGGAGTGGGCTTGTTTGCGTACTGACTAGGATAAGTAATACGACCCTGGGGTGTATTTTTTTATCAAAGTCACGTAGCAATCAATCAATCCGAAGGTTGATTGAACTCGAATCAAGAACAATGGTTTCTTAACACGAAATTGGGATAAAACGGAACCAACGAACAATTCCACATCCGGGGAAAGCTCGTATGGTATAAAATGGTAGCTGCTCGACCACGATTGAAGAGAATATTCAATCGATACAAAGCTCACAAGTTTGGAATCCACCAAACTCAATCAAGTCGCAACTTGCACAAAACCAAAGAGTTTGTTTTTCGATTAATCAAAGTCTGAATTTTACAACGAAGTAGAATGGTATTTAAAGGCAAATAAAACCTAATACAATCCTAATAGAACTAAAAAACAATTAAGGTAAAATTCTACACTAAAAAGGACACAAAATTCAGGTTTAAACTCCTTTTCCTCAAGCGCAAGTAAGCTGCCAACAAACAGTCCAAAAGCAGCTTTCGTACTAACTTCGCGCCTTTCAATCGAGACCTTCCAGAACTCCAATCTTTCATCCGATTCCTTCCCTTGGTAGATAAACATTCCTAATTTCATATTGAGGAAGCATTTTGACTAGAATCCCATCCATGCTCCTTGAATTGAGCTCCAAATTAGGCTTCACAAAACAGTTTTCTGCCTTAGCCATTTTCTGGCAGTTTTCCAGTTTTGAGGTAGCAACTTTGAGGCCTTGGAAAACAACCTTAATGACATCTTCTGGACACACAAAGCATACCATTGGAAAGGTGGAAACTATATCTGCAAAACAAAACCTTGAAATTGAATTTCCACCGAGCCAATTGAGAGAACCATGCCTCCAAAATATGTACCCTGAACACGGATTTTGACTTAGCCAAATTCTGCCATTCTTCTTCCCAACTTCGTTAGCTTCTTCATCAAGTAATTTTGGCTCGTTGATTAACCGATTTGGAATCATATCAGGCTCCCCCTCTTCAAAAATCTTTGACCCCAAAGCTTGTGGCTGCTTCGTGTCAAAATTATCACAAAATTGATTCCAAATTGGATCGAAATAGGGCTGCTCGATCATCCCTTTCGGCAGAAAATTGACACCTTCAAATCATTCTTCAATCTGTTTCAGAGGGATTGACGCTGGAAGTGTTGTTGGAAATGCTTGCTGGAGTTGTAATAGACCTCTACTGATAACCAAGTTTGCCTGAAACTGATCGGAGCAACTCCTAGTTCGTCGGACAGTTACAACGAACTTCAATCCATTCGATGAAATTGGGGGTTTTCGTTTCAAGGATCTCCAGCTCAATTCACTTCTCCCAGGCACTTCGAAAAGCTTCCAATTGAAGTTATAGACCTGTCCCATACCTCGTTTCATCACCGTCGCCGTCAATTTGTCGATTTCCCTTTTCCCGCCGTCGGTCAATTTCGAATTCTCCATACCCAGACTTTGCAACTCCGATTTGGGCGTTTTTAATTTCCGCAGCTTCGAGTTGAATTGAGCACTCATACACGTTCCTTGGACCTCCAGGAACTCGCCCATGGTTTCAATTTGGCCCGAATCCTCCTCGACGGCCCCAACCAATTCATCAATTTTCTGGTCGTCTATCTTCAAACTTCGGCCCGAGATATGCGAATAGGGTTTTTTCAATTCAGGCCTCTTTGGCTCAAATTGATAGACGCTAAAGCATCTGGGGGCTGATTGCAATGATTTCGCAGTGTTGGATTTGCTCGAATCGAGCTGGATAGCTCCACTCAAGAGAGGGTCCTTGTCCTCGCTTTTCGTAAAAAACAGAGGCGTTTTCTTGACGATTGGATCGTCAAATCTAGGTGCATTCGACTCCAATGAGGCTTCTTCTAACGTTTCTGGGTCTGAGCAAGAGTTTTGGCAATGGTGGCGAAGTTCGAATAATCGCCGGTGAGTCCATCCCATTGGTTCTCTCTCTTACTCTGTTCCGCAGGAACGTGGCTGATTTGCGGCAATCTCGTCGACGGATGAAGTCGATCTTCTTCAACAGGCTTAGGAGCTTGCCCTAGACTCGTAGTCGTTCCTCCAACCTCTAATGACTCATTTCTGGCCGCGTCGGACTCCGGCTGTCCTCCTTCGTCGTTGGCCAAGCTACGGAACGCGACACTCTGTTTTGCAGAAATAGAACAGGGGACGTTCTGGGCAGTGGGTTCAGGTAAAAACTCTTCCTCCTGCAGCTTCCTAAAGCTCATGAAACTTAAGCCCACTCGCCTCTAAACCCACAACTGAGCTTGAACGCTCTTTCCCTCGTTCCTATTCTCCTCCATCTACTTCAAATCGCCATAAACTTCATCCGGAGAAAGAGGTTTCAGAACTATCTTCCTGCCGTGATGCCGGAATTTGAATTGATTGGTTCGACAATCATGAGAAACTCCACGATCGAATTGTCACGGTCTTCCCAGCATCATATGAACGCAACTTATTGGCACCACGTCGCAATTAACCTCGTCTTCGTAACCGCCGATTTGAAAACGAACCACGACTTGCTTCGTGACATTAATCGTACTGTGTTCGTTGATCCAGCCGAGTTGGTAAGGCTCTGGATGCCTTTGCATCGTTAATCTGAGCTTCTGGACCGCGTTTAAACTGATGACGTTTGCACAAGCGCCTCCATTGATCACGAGCGATAATAATTTCCCTTCGACCCAGCATCGACTGTGAAACAAATTGTCTCGCTGCTCGTCGGATTCTCGACGCTAAATTGAAGCTGCTGGCCGCTTCTCTTGACCACGAACTTGCAGCTCCTTTGCCTCTTCACTGCTCTCCACCAACGCCTTCTTCTGGATTGAATTCGTCATGGTAGTGCAAACAAAACAAAAGCAGCAGCGGCACAAAACAGGGTTGTCCTGTTTTCCAGCAGGTGCAGAATCGATTTGCACAACCTCAACCCACTCAAATTGCCTTCTCTTTGCCCTTGTGTAGAACCGGGTTCTGATACCACTTAATACGACCCTGGGGGTGTATTTTTACCAAAGTCACGCAGGAATCAATCAATCTGAAGATTGATTGAACTCAAATCAAGAACAACGCGTTCTTAACACGAAATTGGGATAAAACGGAACCAACGGACAATTCCACACCTGGGGAAAGCTCGTATGGTATAAAAGGGTAGCTGCTCGACCACGATTGAAGAGAATATTCAATCGATACAAAGCTCACAAGCTTGGAATCCACCAAACTCAAACAAGTCGCAACTTGCACAAAACCAAAGGGTTTGTTTTTCGATTAATCAAAGTCTTAATTTTACAACGAAGTAGAACGGTATTTAAAGGCAAATAAAACCTAATACAATCCTAATAGAACTAGAAAATAATTAAGGTAAAATTGTACACTAAAAAGGACACAAAATTCGGGTTTGAACTCCTTTTCTTTAAGCGCAAGTAAGCTGCCAGTAAACAGTCCAAAAGCAGCTTTCGTACTAACTTCGCGCCTTTCGTTCGAGACCTTCCAGAACTCCAATCTTTCATCCAATTCCTTCCCTTGGTAGATAAACATTCTTAGTTTCATATTGAGGAAGCCTTTTGAATTGAATACCATTCATGCTCCTTGAATTGAGCTCCAAATCAGGCTTCACAAAACAGTTTTCTGTCTTAGCCATTTTCTGACAGTTTTCCGGTTTTGAAGTAGCAACTTTGAGGCCTTGGAAAACAACCTTAATGACATCTTCTGGATACAAAAAACATACCATTGGAAAGGTGGAAACTTTATCTACAAAAAACAACCCTTAAAGTTGAATTTCCACCAAGCTAATTGAAAGAACCATGCCTCCAAAATATGTACCCTGAACACGGATTTTGACTTAGCCAAATTCTGTCCTTCTTCTTCCCAATGGCTCGTTGATTAACCGATTTGGAATCATATCAATAAGAATTGGGGCTAGGTTGTTTAGTTTTAAGTTTTGGGATGAAAGTTTGTTTGTTCGAATTTTTAGTTTTATGTTTTTGAGTATTAACAAATTTAAGATATAAATATAATAATAATATAATAATAACGCTCTCTTCACGCTCTAAATATTGAATTTTTCTAAATTTGACGCTCTCCCGCTCTCGCTCCATGAATTGGTTACCTAAGGCAGGCATCACCCTTGATCTCTTAATTAGTGGGGCAAAAAATAGGAAGCTAAGTTACTTACACACCCATAACATG